ATAAAAATTAATGCCTGAACTTTTACAATCTCCTGTATAAGCTTTAATTCCATTAACTTAGTTGAGCTTCCCAACAACAGGCAAGCCTAGCAAAGCAGTTAGGAGGATCACTTTGTCATCATACAAATAGAAACTGGGGCTTTTAAAGTATTTGTTCTAGTTCTCATTAGGACAAATCTAGGGTTACTGGGCGCTGAGAAAGCTTGAAGGCTGGGGACTGTCTGAGTTGTCCTGCTCTCACTCTAAGCGCCTACTAGAATGACTGGCTGTAACAACAACACAATAATAATAAAATTTTAAAATAGGTGCTCAGTAAGTGTTGCCGCGTTATGACCCCAGGAGGGAAGTGACGTTCAAGGAGGCGAGGAAAGCCGCGAAGACGGCCTTACCCACTATCTTCCGGGACCAAAGTCCCCAAACCCATCCCGCTCAAGCCAGACCTGGGCTTTTCCCCGGGTCCTGGTCCTCCATCCTCTCCGTTAGGGGGTAGGAAAAGATGTTCCCACAAGTCGCTGTGGCCACCATCCGTTCTCTTACTGGCCGAGGCCGAAAAAAGATCGCCCTCCCATTCGCTAGAGGGCAAACCCTGAGAAAGCTCATTGGCTGCGTCTCGCAGCCCTTCGTCCGCTTTGAAGGCGGGCTGAGGCCGCGAGAGGAGGGGGCGGGCAAGGGGCTCGCTGTTGCCCTGGTTACGCGGAGGCACGTGTGCAGTCCCGGAAGCGCATAGGGGAAGCTGCTCAGCGCGCGCGGCCGGAGGAAGCGCCGCCTGGTCCGCTCGGGTCGGGGCCGGCTGGGCCATGGAGTGGCTGCCTGAGCCCGCGCCGCGCTGTCTTCTGCTTCTCCCCTTGCTGCTGATGCTGCTGCTACTGCCGGCCCCGGAGCAGGGCCCGAGCCAGGCCGGGGCCGAGGAGAACGACTGGGTTCGACTGCCTAGCAAATGCGAAGGTGAGGGGGCGGGGCCCGCGGGGCGTATCCTGCCGGAGGGGCGGGACTTGCGGAGAAGCGTCGGAGGTTGGAAGGTCCTGAACTCTGGAGTCTTTTCGTTCGTTGAACTTGCTGTGTGCTTGGCATTATGCTGGGCGCTAGGACACCAGGATGGGCGAGAGATCCCGTCTCGGTACATCTGGAGTTCACAAATCTGTAGAAACGAGCAATTATAATCCAGGGTAGTAGATGCCGTGATAGGGCAGGTACTGGGCTTTGGGAGCCTGGAGTGGAGGGTGGCGAAGGCTGGGTGTGGACGGGAGTCAGGGAAGGCTTCATAGAGGAAGCCTGAAGAGTAAGTAGGAGTTAGCTGGTGAAGAGAAGTGGAAAGAGAGGGGCCTACTCAGAGGAAGCTACACATGTAGTTTCCTACAGATGTAGGTGTAGGGCTTGCAGGCTAAGAAGCAAAGGACGAATTTGAGGAACTGAAAAGATCCATATGACTCGTCTTGAGTCAAGAAGAACCCCAGGCTCTCCCCTTTGTGCCCTCCCTGCAACCTAATCAGTGTGGTTGTCTGTTGCCCCCACTGACAGCTCCTTCAGGACAGGGACTTTGTCTCAGATAGTTACTCCCAGAGTATCTGATAGGCACTCATACGTGTTTTTGGAATAAATGTGATTAAGTGGGGGTTATGGATGTGTGTGGAGAAGGAGGAGGGTCTGTGGCCTAAGGGGTCACTTTGGGGGAAGAATAGAGCCTGGGGCGAACTTGTTGAAGGAGGAAGATTTTAGGAATATGGAGTCCCAACATAGGAGTCGAAGTGAGGAACTTCAGAGAGAGAAAGGGAGCTCACCAGTGATCGAAGGGCCTACTTCCTTTTCCTCTCCTCCATTTCTCAGTTTTCTCCTCAGACTTTTACAGTCACTCCTTCCTTCCCACCTCCCACACATTTGGCTATGAATCCATTTCATCTGAATTCAAAGTTTACATCAGGCCAGATGTTCCCTGAACACTGGGAATTATGTGATTGGAGACACATAATCCTTCCATTAGAGAGATTAAAAGTGAGCCGCTCCAGAGATAAGCTGACTTCACTGGTAGAGCACCCAGTGTGGATTCTAGCTGTGCTTGCTCTCGTACCTTCTTGCATAGGCAGTCAGATGCTTTTCTTCAATTTATCTCTAGTCTTAACTGATATCCTTTGGGCATTCTGCTTCCTCTTTTCTTTGTTTTCTATCTTATTCTGATACCAAAGCACCCATACTATTTCTCTTATATTCTCATAGCCTAAGAAGCTCACATTTTCTTTTCCTTAGGAGGCATTTACAGACTCGTAGAAGCATAGAGCTGGCCAGGATCCTACAGATCATTCTAGTCTAACCTCATTTTGTAATCGATGAAGATTAATTTAAAAGAGATTTTCAGTCACAGGATAGCTTGCCAAGCTCCAATCTTTAGGCACCTCTTAATATTTATTTGTTTATATTTATTATTATTACACCTTTGTTATTAAGTGCTGACTGTGTCTGGCCCACAAAGCCTGCCTCCTGGCTCAGTAGCTGAGTGGAACAGGCCTCAGCATAGAGAAGGAGAACGTGCCCAAAAAAAAGTGTGGGCGGATGGATGTTCATGAGGGTGTGGGGTCTGTGCCATGAGTCTCCTCCGAGTCTGGTTCTGGGTGGGATCCCCAGAGGAGGTCTTGAAGAGGTAATGTGTGGAAGAGTTGGAAAGCAAGGTTGCGGTTGATGGCTATAAGACAGAAAGGGTGTTCTAAATCTTCTCTTTCCCCCCTCCTAGAATACTACATGTTTGAGGGCGTGGGAGAAGGGGGCAAAGGAGCTAGAAAAATGATGAGCTTGCAGAGTACAGGACAGAAGAGGGAAGGGAGCCCAGATGGTTCTGTATGGAGAGCCAGGGACGTGAGACGCCCTCAATTCATTGCAGACTCTGAGATCACCAGCTTATGACTTGGAATTTTCATCTGTTCCAAGTTCTCCAAGCCTTCAATTAATGTATATGTTATAAAATTTCACCAAGTGAGCCTCCAGGGCATAAATAAATACATTTTTGTGGTAAGCTGGTTTTCTATCATACTCTGTTGTCAGTGTTAAAACTGCTGATGGCATTTAGCCTGCAGACCATATTTCATTCAGAGGCATCAGAAGCTGCTTGGCTGCAAACGCAGTCTCTGTCAGCATTATTTATCAAGCATCTAACATATATAGGGTCTCAGACTAGGGAAATACAGAAAAAAAATCTAATACATGATGCACACTTTGGGGACCCTTGTAGTCTAGGTGGAGAGACACAGGAGATGACTGAAGGCCCTTAGGGAGAGCATGGATCCTGCAGAGGCCCAGAATGAAACCAAGAGCAAGTGGGATTAGTCCAGAATAGCTTTCTGGAAGAGAGGCTTTTAATGTACAGTTGGGAGAATGGGCAGAGAAGCCCCTAGAGGGCATTTAGCACTTTGCTAGGGCTGCAGGCACTTCACACCCTCAGTGGTAGCACCCTATTATTTCTTTACAGTTTTGTCTTCTCCCTTAGACTGAATGTCTGGAAGGAAAGGACCTTTTTTTCATCTCTGTATCCCCAGGCAATGCCTGACACATAGGAGTTGCTGAACAACTGTTTGAGGAAGAGTAAGAGGAAATGAGAGTGAGTGTACAGAAACAGCAGGAACAAGGCTTCTCCGGAGGGGCTGGAGCAAATTAACTTGGTGGGAGTAGAGAGCTGGGGTTGTAACACGTATGAAATCAAGTGAGAAAATAGCCAGAAAAGACGTTTGGGGGACAGTAAGGGAAATTTGAATATGG